CACAGCGAGCAGAGTCGCTGAGCGAGAGGTTGAGGTTTGGGAGTATTGTGAGTTTTATTCACTAAGCACGCTGGGTCGCTGAGCGAGTGATTTGGAATCTAGAGGTACTATATGAGTATTCACGTAGCGAGCTGGGTTAGCTATGCGAGAGAACTCTGGGATCGTTTAGCGAGGGGTTCGTTGAGCGACTGTGATAAGTGAATATTTATACACAAATTTTATATTTAATTTCAAAATTTTAGTGGAATAATTGTGCTTAAATGATTAATTTGAATAAGATTTTGCTTGATTGACTTTATCGGGTTTGAGAATTAAAGAGACTTAAAATGTCATTTTAGTTGCATACATTATTTTGGAGAGTCTAATGTTTGTTGTTACAGTTGGAATTAAAGTTTGAATTACAATTTTGAAAAGAAAGAAAAGGTTAAAGTACAATTAGAGGAAATTTCTAGACTTCTGTACAATCTTGAATAAAATAAAAAAGGGTTGAATTGTAATTTTGGGCAAGTTCAAATCTGTTAGATATTTTAAAAGATAATTTGGAGAAAACATATCTTAAGATATTTTATTTGATATTTTTAAATAGTAACCTTATTTAACTATATCAATAAATATCAAAAGATAATATTTGTCAAATCTTTTTGAATCTAGAAAAAATATTATCAAATATTCTCAAAAACCGATTAAATCTGTTAAATATTTGGAAGATATTGGATATAAGATAAAAGATCTTATCAATAGAAGAATGAGAGTCCAAGCTCAATCAACCCTATATAAAGAGACCCAGGGGAGGAAAAAATGACAACTCATTCATTCTCTGACTCCTCCACTCGAAGCCATCATTCATCACTCTTCTCACTTTTATTTCATCATGTATTCTAGTCCATTCATGGAGGGCTAAGCTCATAAGGCTATTCCACTGTAATTTCATTATGGATTCTGAGGTTAAGTTGAATTAATGCAATTGTTTCTTTTAATTATTGATTTGAGTTATTCTTCTTTTTATGTCTTTCATCTCTCAATCATATTACAAGTAATGATTTTTGCATCATAAGGTGTTTGAATCTACGTACATATTAATCATATGAGTTCAAGGGTTTCTAGGTTTGATTGAGAATATACTTTGATTAAATTTAGGAACTTTCATATGATTAAACGAGTTTTTGCTATCAATTGAAAATGTAATTTGATTGGTGGTAATAATTTCAACTATAATTAATTGAGAATTTACTTTGATTAATTAACTTTTAATTTGGTTAGGAGATTTAAGAACAGACATGATCTAGAAAGGTCTTGCATTTGATTGAGAACCTACTTTGGTTAATTGCATGATCGCCCTCAAATTAATTAAGAATGTACTTTAATTAATTTGAAACTTGAACAATAATCAATTGAAAAATGATCTATGGATAACCGATGATGAATCTATCTTGGAAAAGCAGTGGAATTAGCCCATTTCATCATAATTGTTTCTAAGTTTCCTCTTTGTTCTTCAAACATTAATTTCATTAGCATAGTTTCTCACTTTTATTCTTAAGCATTGCATAGCATTCGTAAGAGTCAAATATTGAAAAACAATTCTGTGTTCGTTGGGAGACAACTCAGGGTTACTTTAACCCTATCTACTTTATTGACTACTGATTTGGCAATAGTGAAGTTGCATTGAAAAATAGTATTAATTTGATAACTTCAACGACATCGTATCAGACTGGTTCAATTTTGGTTTTACTCTTTCTTTCTTTGTTCTTGACTGAATTTTTTTAATTATGTGTTGTTTTCTTGTGGATGATATAAAGTTATGTATTTGAGATTCAAAGTGAAAGTAAGTGGTTTCAAAGTATGGCTTAAAAGTTATGTAAGTAAGTTCTATAGTGGAATCTCTTTGCGAGGTTTAAGTGTGTTTAGAATGACTGCAGGGAGCTCAGTCTTAGGGTTTATCCTGAACTCTAATAGTCTTTCATTCTCAAGTAGAGAGGATTGAATATGTGGTGAAGAGTAGTAAGAGGTCTTAGTCTTGGGGGGCTTCCAGTATGCCTCAAGGCCCGGAACAAACTAACCTTGTAAGTGTGGTAGGGTGAAACTCGTTGGCAATGGCTTTGCAAAGCAGAAGGAGTCACCACAAGTGCACAACCCGTCATAGCTCGACAATCATTTTAAGTTCGGACAGTCGAGTTTAAGTTATAACATGCTTAGGATGTTTGAAGTCAGTTATTCTCTATGCATGATTGATAGTGTTTAGTATATTATATCAATGTATGAATCTTTTTATATCTAGCATACCCTGTTTTTTGTGAATGTGTTTTGTATGTGCGTGTTCTTTCCATGGCAATGATCATCCTGTGGGTATGAACAGAGAGAGAAGATATTTCTCTAAAGCAGACTTTGGATGAAGATAATGCTGCAAGATAATACTGCAGTATAGATTAGTTAGAACAGTAATATAAATAGTTTTGTAATAGACGAGTAGTAACTATAGTTTAAATTTTATAGTTATTTTTGGATAACTCTAAGTTAGACCTTATATTGTAGATATAATTGTTATTCTAATATTACTAATGTGAGGACTCTTCTATATAATAAAGCACTTTTTTTTTTGGGATATTACAATAGAATATATATACACAATTGAAGTCTAAACATTATCATTAATTTTAAAAATGACATTACGTTTTCATAGGTTTGGATTTTCTTAAAACTAAGACAAATTGGAAACTTAAATGAACTTTTGACTAATGTCTTTCCCTAAATTTTAAAATAAATTTATCATTAAAATAAAAAAATATAATTTAAAATTTTAAAGCTTAAAAGTAGTTTAATTCAAATTTTTGTCCTTTTACTATATATAGTTATGATAAAATAATTATTAATTAATTACCCATATTTTATTGTTATTTAAATTTGATCTTTACCATTATTTTTTTTATGTATACAGTACCGAAGTAACTTTAGTTTTGAGATAAATTGTTTGTCCAATACTTGCTAACCTGTTTAATTATTCACGTCTTTCGGATAAAAAAAAATTGACGTCTTAAAAAACCTGCATTATCAAAAAAATCAATTTATTTTCAATTAAGTTTTCATATTTTTTTTAAATGGTTTATTTAAAATCAAAATCTTAAATCTGATAACACAATTGAATTTCTACCGTACATAGATAGAGAAAGAAGAGATATATTGTTGAAAAGTGAATACATGTAAGATATCTAACAACTTATTTGAATTTGTGTTTGTTATTTTTAGTCACTTATTATTGTCGAAAAAAATAGTCTTATGAATGAAAATACCAAAATAAGTACGAAGACAGAAGATAGTCCAGAAGCATATGTAACAATTTCAATATAAAATATGTTAAAATTTAGTACATTAGTCACGAGGTATTCACTGATGTTATATCCTTACCACTACTTTTCTACACGTTAATTTTTTATAAAGACTAAAAAAAATCCTTTAACTACATTTAAATTAGTAATTAGGTGCTGTGATATAAATTAGTAATCACGTGTCTGGAAGGAATCATAAACTTCCTATTTCAGTCACAAGTTATGAACAAAATATCAAATGTCTAATTATCGTAAATTTACTTATCATTTTGACACAATAAATTGTTAAAAGTGCCTTTATGTCAACCAAATATTTCAAACCGAGACCTATTTACTTGCAAAAATTAATCAAAAGACAACGGTGCTATCAGGGCTACCATTGAACATCCAACTCTAAGAGAAATTGAAAATGAGGTTTTCCAAAATAATTAAAAAAATTATAATTTTTTCAGCAATAAACATTTATAGATATTTATTCAAATTGAGTTAAAACTGTTGCAAATTTTCCGTGATCAACTAGTTTACTACAATTCTAATTTCCACATTAAATATGGATTCAAATTCCTAATTATCTAAAATACAGTTAGTTGGGCATTCCTTCCTCACTGTGACCCTCAAGACCAAAGTAAAATGACCGGTTTATGCTTGATTTATAATCCTTTCAGTCCGAGACATCACTTCTCATGATTTAGGAGACAAAATATTCTACTGAGTAAACTTTTGTAAGTAAAAGTTAGTAATTAATATATCTCTTAAAATTTTCAAGTAAGAGTTTACTTTACACATAATTCCTACTACTGATTATTTTTACCAATTTTTTGAGGAATAGTCAATTTCGATACTTTCAAAGTTATATATCAAGTTTAACTTATCTGAAGATTTTCTTTCCACAAATGTACAGCGACAGCGTTTCCGGCGTATGAATTTCATAACTGCAATTCTTTAACACTGTTTTCCAAACATTAAAAGATACCAATATTAATTCATATACCCAATTAACCAAAAGCTAATTTGATGTGTGGATAAACGCAAGGAGACAAATAAATGAAACGGCAATGAGCTAATAACGGAGTAAGACAGTGCCGCACAGTATGAGCATTTCATGCACAATGTCAGTAGTTATTTATCAAGAATACTATGATCATTTCCCTTTTCTCTTCTTAGGAAAGTACGCATTTTACTGTCAACAATCTGCTTTTAATTTAGAATTTACAAAAGAAAATACAAGCAATAATTAATTAATCAGGATATACATTTGAGAATAATACATGTACACGCACCTCATCATTCATCACCAAGGAACCGTCCGTTAAGATTTTCCATCATGGAAAACTGCATATTCTCGGATGGTTTCCAATGACGTTTTCTCTGGTTAATAAACCAATTGTTAATTTGCTTCTGATCTAGCCCTGTTGACTTAGCCAGTTCAATCTTATCAGCTTCCTATACATGATGATCAAGTAACACAAATATTAATAGCTGATGTCTCACGTGAGTGCGTGTGTGCGGGAACTGGATAGTTTGCACAGGAGAATAAAATCACAAGCAAGAACCATTAATTACCGTGGGGTAAGGCCATTTGTAGTGAACATTCCACCACTGAAGCAATGTTTGTCTTGCTTCCTTCGGAAGTTTACCTTTCTTTTTCTTTTTTGAAAACTCCAGTTTCAAAGTACCAATGTGACTCCCAAACTTCCGTAAGAGTCTATCCTTCAGTTCACGATCTTCACCCTTTGATTGCCCATCTTGACCATCACCATCTCCTGTACTCAAATCTTCGTCTGAAGACAAACCACCATCATCTAGTCAAGCAACAGCAATACCCATAGCAAAATCATCAGCACTATCGTTGTTTCAAAGCAAATGAGATAAAAAAAAAGTAGTTTTATTATGTTTGGTTACATAATAGAGTAAACAACGTCTGAGATGCACTCCAAACTAAAATTACCTTGATGGAAAAGAAAACAACAAACTAGGCAAAAATCCTACAACCATTCAAATTATAATTATAAGAATTTATCCCCACGTAGTTACCCAACCAGAGAGGACCACAGAGAAAAACTCAACTTTTACTTTGATTCTATTTACTTTAAAGCAAAGACTATAGAAATTTAACTATTTTTTATTCATTTTCTCAGATCTCTTATTACCTTCTTTTTTTCATGACAAGAAAGTATACAAGTTATTTGACTACAAATAAAACTTACAACGGTACAATCTTATTTGCTGTAAAATACTAAAAAATTAATAAATACTAACAACAGACAAGTTTAAAATTAAATGTTACAAAAAATACAAGGTTTTGATTTACAATAATGTGAATATACTACAGATAATGAGTGAAATTCCTCCTTGAAAATCTAGTATTTAATGTTACTTTTAAATAAATAAAAAATACTTTCAAATGAAGGTCCTTTGGTTAATGAATACTAGTTACCCGGTAGCTTTGGTTATATTTGGGTTTAAATCAGAAAATACATTTTTCAAATGTAACCAAGGAAAAAATTATTGTTTTGAGGGCACAATTAAACATTCAAGTCAGTAAGTAGCGGATTAAGGAACTGACGAATTCATAGAAATAAAAATATTATTATTATAATAATGAATTATTGCAACAGTTAGAATTTACACAGAAATTTAAATTTATTTTCCAACTTAAAATTAGTTAGAGAAATGCCTATTGTGTATTTCAATTAGACATTGAAAAATCTAGATTATTAAAAAGTTTTCAAATCAAACCATAAAAAAACCTAGTTTAAAGCTCAAAAAACTTAACCTATTGAATCCATCATTTTCCGATTTTCATGCTTAGTGCCACTTCACCTGAAAATATATAAATTAATCTTGCGAGAAACTTTTGACACTCATCATTTCTGACCAGCTTATCTCAAAGGCGAATAATGTTTGAGTACAGAGGCCTAGGAGCCCACGAGCACCCACAAATTACTTCTGACACCCACTCAATCCGACAAGGATTTGACCATCGCATGAGAGTACACTGTACACACCAGACCAGATCAGAGCAGACCTAGGTTGGAAAGAAAGTAAAGAAAATGAAAATATCAGTGTCAGTGCCTGGTTCCATCCATTGTCACTCACTGTAACCCAAACCAGAGAGAGACTCAAAGTTTCCAACGAGGCACACGGTACGGCTCTAGTCATTCTTAATCACCCATTTCATGACCCCAGATCTACTCCTTCCGCTGTATCCGTTTCAAATTACAGTTGTTTACATAATAAACACCTTAAAATTCTCGGGCCTCGGTACGGAAAATCATCCCCCCGTTATAAGATAGATCGCACTTGTGTCTATTTGTCGAGATATAATCACTCATTAACTGAATAATTTATTGTACATAATAACAATAATACCCTTTGTGTGTTTAAGGACGCTATATATTAAAAAAATGTAAAATAAAAATATTGAAGAACTAGAATAACTACTTCAGTTAATTGAATCTACAATTTCGGTTTCCAAAATATGACCCTTAACTATACGATTGCTTTATTCACTAAGAGGGAGGATGAGGGACCGGTTTATAAAAAGATGAAGCATTTTGGGATCGACAAGTGTTACGCATCAAGTAATGACCTAAGGGTCAATGACAGAGGCCCACAACGGGGCACAAGAGAACAAAATATCGGAAAATGGCAATGACAAGCACTAGAACCAGCAGGCAGAAGAAAGGGCAGTGGGGAAGGTATATACAAAATGAAATTGACATTGAATAAAACGTTCTCTCAGAATAAAGGGCTGAATCAAGATCACAGCGATATCTGCGGGAGTGCATGTGAAAGATATAAATACTCTACGATCACCCGCTGCATTCGGGATTATTCTGAAAGGTCCTAATTAAGTTCATCAGAATCACTCACCTCAACGTATATTATAATAACTCTGTGCGCTACAACCATTTCCTAACATTTCTTAATGTATTTATCAAATTCCTAAGATAATGAACGACCCAATAACGTACTTCTGAAAAGTCCAAATTATTTTGGAGATTAGAGAAACTTCCGCCCAAACAAGTACCAAAATGTATCTCATGCTTAGTATATCCAAACATTAAAAAGCTACCATTTTCTTTTTCTATTTTAGATGAAAATTGACCCCTCGGGTAATTATTACCACTTATCCAGCGGCATTGTATTTTTTCTTGTCATTCCTACTTTAATTTAGGCCCCGCCAAGAAGCATATCCTAGGGTTTAACCAATTACTCAACTTAAATACTCAGTAAAAAATAGAGGTTAACATACTAAGCAAACTAAGTCATAGAAACACAATGTTACGCTACCTCAGAAGAGACGAACGTCACACTGAAACAGGAAGACGCTACCATAAAAACGTCACAACATCCAAGCCGATGAAGACAACAATCCAATATATGTACATAGTTCGAGAGAGCACTCCTGGTTGTTTTCATGGTATTTAGAAGATAATTAGCAAATCTGAAATCAAATTCCTTTTATTTCAAAAAATCTCCAAACTACATAAAGCCACCAAGACACTTATGTGGGTGAAAAATTCACGTTATAGATTCATTAAGCCATGCAAGTGTTATTTCCTACTCAAAATGTCCTACGTAAGTGCTTATACTGGGTGAAAATTTATTTAACAATAAAATGTGTTGAAAAATGGTTCAGCAAGTGTGATATTAGGATCTCAATACTCCAATTTCCCAACATCCGATGCACTCACCTACCACGCCATAGACTCGCCTGAACCGTGTAAAACATTTTATTCGCACTAAAATATAAATAATGAACATGAAAGCGCGGTGCGAAACAAACCTACTATCAATCAGTAATCAACGATTACAAACTCATTTTACCTATTACATTATTATAAATAATATAACATTTTATTCATTGGCCATGTGATTTCAAAAAGATTATAAAATAAGACGGAGGTCATGAGTAAAAAACTAATGTTCTTCATTCCTTCATGTCAACCCGTTATTTTCGTTCACATCTAATTATTTATCTAAAGGAAGTCTTTATCTATCCTGGAGATTTTTTTAGCACGTAACTAATTCCTTTAGTCAAGAAATAAACTTCAGTTAAATACAGACTTGAACAACATCATGCAGCAAGACGTTATACTATGAGCAACACATCCATCTATCAAGCTTTTGCCCAAAAAACACAAATCAGAGTGCAGTATATCACAATGATCAAGCCCATTTAGAAGCATAATTGAGTAAACTTTTATTTGAAGGGATCATCTAGAAATCACACTAGATGTTCAAGTCGTCTGGGACGATCTGAAAATGCAATACATTAAAAAAGCATAGCGTGATCAATCATGATTTTTTATCGGCATCAACGATGATAAATGTCAACAACGAAGAAAGAACTTGAAACATTGCTGGCAATTACGATGGTTCTCCTACATCTGGTCTATTTTGCTTCGTAAGAATTAAATATCTAGGTATTCAAATCATCTAGAAATCACACTAGATATTCAAATAGTTTGGGACGATCTGGAAATCACATACACAAAAAAAGTTCAGCATAATCACTCATGACAAATGTCAACAACGACGAACTTAGAACACTCCTGGCAATTACTACAGTTCTCCTGCATTTGTTCTATTCAACTAAATGGGAATTAAACTATCTAAAACAACTATGCTTTTGATTGGAAAAAAGTAGTTGAACTAATTAAAGTTAGAAGCTGGAGTTGAATCGAGTCAAAAGTTTCGGGTGCTTCTCTATCGTTGGGGTCTATATTTGAACCAGCTAACATTTTTTATTTTCTCAGGCTAGGAGGTCATAAATTGTTTGTTAATTATCTCATTGGAAATTTATTCTGGAGATACTTCATTGTTCATATAATCAATGTCGACATTCCAGTTATAAATAGGTGGGAGTACCTTTTCTATTCCTTTCCAATAAGATTTTCACTGATAAAAAAAAAATAAAGGTAACCATGCTGCACTATTATGCTAAGAATTTGCCATATATAAAGTTGATGTCAATCCAATAACCTTAAGACATGCTTCTAACAATTTCAAGATCCAATTTGACACAGTGATTTCAGTACAAGAAAAAGAAAAACTAGAAAGAATAAATTTAAAAACAAAGAATTTCACATCCTGTCAACTTGCTTTTGCGGCAACCGCTAAAGGAATATAGGTTGGCAAAAAAGCATGAAGGAGAATCCATCAAATTAAGGATGCAGCACAAAACCACTTACCAATAAACATCACAACTGAAAAGGTAATCTGTACTTTCAGGCATAAATAATAATATTTGCCAACCATAACCCACCTGATCATGACTACCCTTTTATAAATTTAAAAAAATAAAAAAATAGCCGATGAAAATCTACTGTATTCCATCCTCCACCATTATCAAAAACAGTATGGGAATTGTAACTGATCTTCTGGCGTAGAAAATATTCAGTAACCAAAATAAAATTCACAAATGATAAAGTTGAAACCCCAAAACATACATATGCACTGATTCAGGATAAATTATGCGTATGCGCAACAAAGGGTGGAATATTATACTGAGAAACATAATCAGTGATCATGGATTGAACAGACAATGAGAGAACAAGATCCCAAAGAAATGAAAGGGCATCATAAAAGACCAATTTATAATCAGCCGAGTCTTCTAGATTAAGACCTTACCAGTAAACTCATAAATTTAATTTTCTGGAATGAAAGCACACACGAGGATAATCTAACTTCATTAATGCTGAGCTCATTCCTCTTTCTAATTTTACTAACAACAGGATAACCCAAAGCAACTTAACTCCATTTATTTAGAAAAATCAGAGAGCACTTTAGCTCC